CTCTTCTCTTCTCTTCTCTTCTCTTCTCTTCTCTTCTCTTCTCTTCTCTTCTCTTCTCTTCTCTTCTCTTCTCTTCTCTTCTCTTCTTCCCTTCCCTTCCCTCTTCCCTTCTCTTCTCTTCCCTTCTCCTCTCCTCTCCTCTCTTACCTTACCTTACCTTACCTTACCTTACCTTACCTTACCTCTTCTCAAGAGTTATTGTGCACATTTGAGGTGAAAAAAAAAAGCTGTTTGGGGCATGGCAAACAGAAATTGGAGGGAGAAACCTGGATGCACAATGGATGCCTTTGTTCTTCCTGCTTACTGAAGCATGAAAGCACCACATGCCCAGAGATCATTTTCTCCTCAATTAAGCTTTTTTCTCTCTCTATTTATTATCACAACTGGCATCCGGTGCCTATAATCCCTTGGTCACTCAATTGATGCCTGAATTGCCATTAACCCTCCTTTAATCACGGCATCTATCTTTAGATCCTCTGATTGTCAGCTATTGCTGGAGAGCTGTTTATGGGCTAAGCCTATTTTGAGGTTATTTGTCCGTGATCTGTGTCTCCTCGTTCTGTGCTTTGTGTCATTCTGGTTGTGTTGGGTGAAGGTAGCAATTATGATTTAGACCTCCTGGTGCAGTGGCTGAAACTTTTACTTGCGTATTTGAATCTCTCCTGATGCCTCTGAAATCTGCCTCATTTGTATTTATTTTATTTTTAATCCCACCTTTATGACTTCATAAGGAACTCGGGGAGGCGAATATACCCAATACTTCTTCCTTCTCCTATTTTCTCCACAACAACAACCCGGGGGGGGATGGGTTGGGCTGAGAAAGATGGATTGGCCCAAAGTCACCCAGCTGTCTTTCATGCCGAAGGCAGAACTAGAACTCACTAGAAAACACTGTCTCCTGGTGATTGGCCCAAAGTCACCCAGCTGGTTTTCATGCCTAAGGCGTGACTAGAACTCACAATCTTCTAGTGATTGGCCTAAAGTCACTTAGCCGGCTTTCATGCCTAAGGCAGGACTAGAACTCCCAGTCTCCTGATGATTGGCCCAATGTCACCCAGTCAGCTTCCATACTTAAGGTAGAACTAGAACTCCCAGTCTTCTGGTGATTGGCCCAAATTCACCCAGCTGGTTTTCATGCTTAAGGCGTGACTAGAACTCACAATCTCCTGGTGATTGGCCTAAAGTCACCCAGCTGGTTTTCAGGCCTAAGGCAAGACTAGAACTCACAGTTTCCTGGTGATTGGTCCAAAGTCACCCAGCTGGTTTTCAGGCCTAAGGCAAGACTAGAACTCACAATCTCCTGGTGATTGGCCTAAAGTCACCCAGTTGGTTTTCATGCCTAAGGCAGAATTAGAACTCACCATCTCCTGGTTTCTAGACCAGCAACTTCATCTCTAAACCAAATTGCCTCTGCCATATCTGTGTTCCTCTATTTGTCTCATGGCACCAGTATCCGAGTAATATTTTTTCCTCCCTTGAAGTCGGGGACGACTGACGAAGCGGATGTGGGTGGAGATACATCCCAAAGCTATCTACCCTTCATTTTTCTCTTTCGCTGTTTGCAGGAGTTGATCACCGCTTGGTATATTGGATTCCTGTGCCTAATTTTAGCCTCCTTCCTGGTGTACTTGGCTGAGAAAGGAGAAAACGACCATTTTGATACCTATGCAGATGCCCTGTGGTGGGGCCTGGTGAGTATCTTTTGCTTGCCAGTTTCAGGCCATGAATTTCTGGCTATCAACGTAGCTGTCATGCTTCCAGACAGATGAAACTCTTCAAAAGAACTTCGAGGCATTGTTTACCTTAAAGAGTCTTTTATTCGAGAAACAAAGTATCGGCACTACATAGTGGAAGCCAAAAACTGAATTCCCCTCTCCTGGGCACAAAGTAACAAAGCACAATTCCCTCCTCCAATTAACAGTCATAAATCACATTTCCCAATTAGCTTGAAGCACGGGCTTTCTCTTTAGCTCTCCAGCCTGCCAAATCTTTATCAACTCTGGGTGCAAGAACTCTGGACCAGTTCCATGGAGAGAGGTTTTTCCGTGGACCGGAGGGTGCATGGTTTTGTGTGCTGCCTCCATCCCGTGGATGGGGCTTCGCTTGTTTGCGTGGCCCGGTTGCTGGCATGCTGCAGCCCAGTACTGGTCCAAGGACTGGGGGTTGGGGATCCCTGCTCTAAGAAGTCCTCTCATTAGGTGGCCAGAGTATTTGAACCTCAGCTTCAGCATCTTATCTATTGCTCACCTTTATACAATCTCAAATGCTTTTTTTTAATGCCTAGGCCAGTGATGGCGAACCTTTTAGAGACCAAGTGCCCCAAAACTGGCCCCGCCCCTTCTCCACCCCCTGCCCCGCCCTCTGCTCCACCTCCCCATCTCCCGCCCCGCCTCCAGGGCCCGTCACAGATCGCCCAGGCAGCCCAGCAGCGCTATGGTGGCCACGCCCTCTGCCCGCGCCCTGCAGCATCAACTGTGCACGATGGGGGTGTGAGGGCAGAGTCTTATCTACGCTGCCTGGCTGCCATGTCCTTGGCTGCGCTGCTCTGCGTGGGCCACACTCAGGGGCGACTCTCCTTTAGGGGGGCTGCTGGAGAGGAGGGGATTGTGGGGGGAGGCAAGGCTGGGACAACGACATGTGTGCCCACAGAGAGGGCTCCGAGTGCCGCCTCTGGCACCCGTGCCATAGGTTCGCCACCACTGGCCTAGGCTGACTTACGTACAGCAGATTCTTTTGATTGTGTTCCTCCGCCAATCTTGACTTTGCAGATTTCATGCAACTATCTCTGTTTTCGTCCAGATTACCCTGACCACCATTGGCTACGGGGACAAGTATCCACAAACCTGGAATGGGCGTCTCCTGGCAGCAACCTTCACTTTGATTGGGGTTTCCTTTTTCGCTCTCCCCGCAGTAAGTAAAGTCCTTTCCTTTCCTTGAAAAAAAAAAGCCAGATCATATCCAGGGCCGTGACTCACTTCGGATGGAAAGCATCTGGATTGCCTCTGATCTCAGAGTAGTTTCTAAGCCTAGATCGTGGCATTTTTTTTGTCGGAAGAAGGAACTGTTTTACTCGGTGACGAAGTTGAATGCGTCTGCAGGTAGTCCTTGACTTACAATCGTTCGTTTAGTGTCCATTTGAAGTTACAACGCTGCTGAAAAAGAGCGTCCTCCTGTTTAATGAACGACTCAGTATTGCGTAACCTGATTCTTGACAAACCTAATGGGAAATAATACTGTACTTAATATAAAAAATATAGAACCGTTATTGAGACTCTAGAAAGATTGCAGAGAAGAGCAACGAAGATGATTAGGGAACTGGAGGCTAAAACATAGAAGGACGGTTGCAGGAATTGGTGATGTCTACTTTAAGGAAAACAAGGATTGGGGTGACATCCAGTTTTGGTCACCACGATGTAAAAAAGATGCTGAGACTCTAGAAAGAGTACAGAGAAGAGCAACAAAGATGATTAGGGGACTGGAGGCTAAAACATATAAGGAACGGTTGCTGGAATTGGGTCTGTCTAGTTTAATGAAGAGAAGGACGAGGGGGGACATGATAGCAGTCTTCCAATATCTCAGGGGCTGCCCCAAAGAAGAGGGAGTCAAGCTATTCTCCAAAGCACCTGAAGGCAGGACAAGAAGCAATGGATAGAAACCAATCAAGGAGAGAAGCAACCTGAAACTAAGGAGAAACTTCCTGACAGTTAGAACAATTAACCGGTGGAACAACCTGCCTCCAGAACCTGTGAATGCTCCAACACTGGAAGTTTTAAAGAAGAGACTGGACAGCCATTTGTCCAAAATGGTGTAGGATTTCCTTCCTGAGCAAGGGGTTGGACTAGATGACCTCCAAGGTCCCTTCCAACTTTATTATTATTATTATTATTATTATTATTATTATTATTATTATTATTATTATTATTATTATTATTATTATTATTATTATTATTATTATTATTATTATTATTATTATTATAGCAGTGTCCCACTATCTAAGTGGCTACCACGAAGAAGAGGGGGGTTAATCTATTCTTCAAAGCGCCTGAAGGCAAGACAAGAAATAATGGGTGGAAACTAATCAAGGAGAGAAGCAACCTCGAACTAAGGAGAAATTTCCTGACAGTTAGAACAATTAATCAGTGGAACGACTTGCCTCCAGAAGTTGTGGGTTGTGGGTTTAAAAACTCACTGGAGGTTTTTAAGAAGAGAATGGACAACCACTTGTTTGAAATGTATAGGTTCTTGAGCAGGGTGCTGGCCTAGGAGGTCTCCCAAGGTCCCTTCCAACTCTGTTATTTGGTTAATTTAATTTTCAGGGAATTCTAGGTTCCGGCTTTGCCTTGAAGGTTCAAGAGCAGCATCGTCAGAAGCACTTTGAAAAAAGGAGGAATCCTGCAGCTGGCCTAATTCAGGTAAGCAGAGAGAATGGGTGGGTGGGAGGCTGAGGGGCTCAGGGAAGGTCGGATCTCTGAGGAGAGAGAAATGGATCAAAAAGGTGCTGAAAGAGAATTGATTCACGCTGCAAAACCTTCTAGGGCAGGAGTAGGCAACCTTGGCTCTTTTATGACTCATGGACTTCAACTCCCAGAATTCCTGAGCCAGCCATGCTGAGGGGAAAGGGAGAGGTTTCCAAGCTGAGCCATGCTGGCTCAGGAATTCTGGGAGTTGAAGTCCACGAGTCATAAAAGAGCCAAGGTTGCCTACCCCTGTTCTAGACCAAGGATCTCCAATCTTGGCAACTTTAAGACTTGTGGGCTTCAACTCCCAGAATTCCCCAGCCAGACAACTTTAAGACTTGTGGCCCTCAACTGCAGTGATTTGCTTAACCACTGTGGCAAAAAAGGTTGTAAAATGGGGCACGCTTCACTTAACAATCACCTTGCTTAACAACAGAAATTCTGATCACGGTGGTGGTTGTAAGATGAGGACTCCCTGTAAGTTAAAGATTAAGACAATGTGGTTTCTCCCCTGCAGAATCTAAGTTAGCAATAGCAACAGCACTTAGACTTATATACCGCTTCACAGGGCTTTACAGCCCTCTTTAAGCAATTCACAGAGTCAGCCCCCAACAATCTGGGTCCTCATTTTACCAACCTCGGAAGGATGGAAGGCTCAGTCAACCTTGAGCCGGCCAGGATCGAACTGCGGGCAGTTGGCAGAGTCAGCCTGCAATGCTGCATTCTAACCACTGCATTACCACAGCTCTTAATAGCAATAGCTCTTAGACTTATATACTGCTTCACAGTGCTTTTTACAGCTTTCTCTGAGTGGTTTACAGCAGAGGTCACCGACCTTTGTCAGTTGGTGGACCGGAGGAAAAAGGAGGTGGAAGCATTTTATATGCGTGCGTGTGTGCACGCATGAGGCCGCGAGCACGTGCACGCCGCAAACGGCGTGATACTTACTAGCCCTGCCCTGTTCTTGCATGGCACAGCGCCTTGTTTCTGCGCCCAATGGTGTGACGATGGCTGTTTTTGTGACTTGCAGTGCCACAGCCACCCATTTTTGCACCCCGCTGTGTGGCGGTGCCCATTTTCACAACCCGTGGTGTGGCGGCGGCCTGTTTTTGCACCCTGAGGTGTGGTGGAGTCCCATTTTTGTGCCCCGAGGCGTAGCGGCGTCCTGTTTTTGTGCCCCGTGGCCGCGGCGCTAGTGCAAGTGAGGGGGTATGTGCATACATGCACGCGCACTGGCCAGCCTGTCCTGCAGCCTGGTGGCCAATAGGCCACGGCCCACTACCGGGCCACGCCCCACAGGTTGGGGAATCCTGGTTTACAGAGTCAGCATATTGCCCCCAACAATCTGGGTCCTCATTTTACTGACCTTGGAAGGATGGAAAGCTCAGTCAACCTTGAGCTGGCCAGGATCGAACTGCTGGCAGTGGGCAGAGTCAGCCTGCAATATCACATTCTAACCACTGCGCCACCAGCAAGTTAACTTCAATATTTGCTTGTTTTATAGTTTTTTTTGAAATCACATCTGCCTCTCCTTCCTATATTCTCTCAGGCTGCCTGGAGGTTTTACGCCACTAACCTCACCCGAACCGATTTGCACTCTACCTGGAATTACTACGAACGAACCGTCACCGTTCCCATGTACAGGTAAGCATTTCCTGTGGGTCCATGATTCCTCTACAAGTAGTCCTTGACTTACAACCATTTGTCTAGTGACCATTCTAAATTACAACGGCACTAAAAAAAGTGATTTATGACTGTTTTTCACACTTGGGACCGTTGTAGCATCCCCATGGTCATGTGATCAAAATTCAGACGCTTAGAACTGACTCATATTTATGACTCATATTGCATGACCCTGGGACCTTCTACAACCCTCTGGCAAGCAAAGTCCATGGGGAAGCCAGATTTACTTCTATTGTCTTACTTAACAACTGCCGTGATTCACTTAATAACAATGGCAAGAAAGGTTGTAAAATGGGGCAAAACTTACCGGTAACTGTTCTGCTCAGCAACAGAAATGTTGGGCTCAATTGTGGTTGCAAGTCGAGGACTACCCATATTTCTGTCCATTTTGCTTATTTTTTTGTTATGTTCAACAAAATGTTCTGTTCTCATTGTGTGAGTGTTGTTGTTTTTTAAAACTCACTGGGAAGTTCTCTTTTCGGAAGTCCCTTTTTGTTTTCAAATGCTGGATTTAGATTTATTTCTCCATGGCTTATGTTGGTTTATATTAATTTGTTTTTCTTTTCTTGCACATTTATGTTTCTCCATCTTGCGTTGGCCACCGTCTTTATTTTTCTACACCTGTTCTCGGTGGTGGGTTTTATTTTCTGACAATTGCCATGTCAGAAAGCTGAAGACGATCTGAAAGGCTGGCCTTGAAAAGTAGGTAAAAAAATAATAATAACCCCATTTTCCAGTTCTTTCCCATGACTTTTCTCTTCCTGTAGCATTTAGCATGTTGACCTGTGCTGTTTTTGTCCGTGATGTGGAAAATGAATTGTGGAACATCCTTTCTGATTCCTTTCCTGATCAGCCTAGAGCAGGGGTCTTCAAACTTGACCCTTTTATGACTTGTGGACTTCAACTCCCAGAATTCCTCAGCCAGGCGTGCCTGGCTGAGGAATTCTGAGAGTTGAAGTCCACAAGTCATAAAAGGGCCAAGTTTGAAGCCCCTGGCCTAGAGTTACATTTCTTAACCTCAGCAACTTTAAGACGTATGGACTTCAACTCCCAGAATTCCAGAGCCAACATAGCTGGCAGGGAGAGTTGAAGTCCATACATCTTAAAGTTGCTAAGGTTGAGAAACAATGGCTTAGAGTAACTAAATAATTTCAGTTTCTAACAAGAAACTTAGTGGGGAGCAGAACACATGGAGAACACGGTTACCAATTCTTTGTGAAAATAATCTTCAGGCAGAATGATGGTCACAGCATAAAGTAGCCTCCTCTAGTATGTGTCTTCCAGGTATATAGGAATTGCAGTTCCCAGAATTCCCTGGACTGTGCTGATTGGGAATTTGATGAAGAGAGAACCCCCTCATTGGGAGAGAACAAGATTGGGGAAAGTAGCTGTAGATTTATTGACTCAACTTTTGCATTAAGAGAACTTTAGCCGACTATAGAAATGGTTGTAGTTGATTGGTGAGATTGGATACTTGTACATTCTTTCTTTTGTTGAATGAGCAAGGAGCAGAATCTGGCTGTTTGGATGTAGAAGCTAAGCAATTTCAGGCCTGATTAATATTGGATGGGAGATTGGAAGAGTGGAAAACAATTAGAAAATTAGAAATTAGAAAAAAATTAGAAATTGGGGGGGGGAGAAGAAAAATTCCCAGGAAGTGACAATGAAATAAAATGAACAACGTCACAACATTTATTAGAAAGCAAGTTTGATGTAGTGGTTAAGGTGCTGGTTTAGAAACCAGGTGACGGTGAGTTCTAGTCCAGCTTTAGGCATGAAAGCCAACTGGGTGACTTTGGACAGTAATTTCTAGTTCCACCTTAGGCAGTAAAGCTGGCTGGGTGACTTTGGACCAATCACCAGGATATGGTAAGTGTCAAGGTTCCAACTAATGAAACCAAATAAATCAGAACTCCGAGCCTTGAAGTTTCCTCAAAGAACATGTTTATTGGATACATAATATTGGCAGGGTCAAAAGTGAAACCAACGCTAAAATTCTCCTTAGGGATTCAGTGTAACTAAATGTAACAGTTCCCTCCCCTCTGCTATGCTATTGATCATGCTACCCAATAAAAGCAATTGACGGGCTCCGTGAAACTTCTTCTCTCCACCTTCCAGCTCCTGTGGGAATGACCTTGGTTCCCATGGGACCGCTCCATGTTTAGTCTAGCAATGCTGTCCTTTTCTTTCCCCCTTACCCCCAACCTGTGGCAACTTAGAACGACAAAGATGGCTTCACCCAGGTTCGTTTCAGAAGTTGACAGTAAGTTCTAGTCCCGCCTTAGTCATGAAAACCACCAGTGAGTTTGGACCAATCACAAAGAGAAGGTAAATTCTAGTCCTTGACAAGGCTTCAAGCATGATATTCTTTTCAGTAAGAGCAAATGTAATCTTGTCTCATTAAAAAAAAACAAAAACAAAATCAGATCAGGAATCCTGGATGAAGCCCAAATCCTCCCTGTCCTTCTGGATGAGTGTGTACCAAGACGATGCAGTTCAGTGGAGGCCAGTCAGACGTGAGAGATTTCAGCGCAGGGAACCTTGGTTCAACGGATAGTTGATCAGATAATCACAGACCGCTGTGTTTCTCCTGGCTTATTTCATCATTTCTGCTTGCTTCGGCACCCCCGGATATGCCAAGATATGTATTTGGAAGCCTTGATATAATCGCTTTGCTCACGCTTAGCAGGAAACAACCCCTTGATCTATTTTTATAGAGCTTCTCGGGCACCTAAGCTAAGCCGAGCTCTATCCTTTGAATAATTGATTGGGGTGGTGAATTTTTAATCTCCTCAGTAAGAGTTGTGATCAAATTCACTTCTGCATTTTTGCAGGGGCTCTGCTAATGTCCCTTGCTTTTCTAGTTGCAGCAGTAGGGAAGACTTTGAATAGCGAGATGGATGACTTATCAATTTGATTGATTGATTAATAAACAAACAAACAAACAAATAAATAAATTGGAGATGGGCGACTTATCAATTTAATAAATAAATAAGTAATTAAGTAAGTAAGTAGGTAGATAGATAAAAAGAAAGAAAGAAAGAGAAAGAAAGATAGATAGATAGATAGATAGATAGATAAATAGATAGATAGATAGATAGAAAGATAGATAGATAGATAGATAGATAGATAGATAGAT